TTTAGCAATGTATTGCAAAGAGACAGTGGAGCATTATCGCCAACACTTGACTGCGATCTCCGCCCACACATAAACCAAACATACACCACAATGTCAGTGCTGATTTAAAATGTGCCGCCACAGCTGAAGCAAATTAGCTAGCTATTGAATTAGCACTCACATTATTGTTTGCGGGTCCAAATCATTACAGACCCAACAAAGATTACTGATGGCTTCTACAACAGTGTTGGTACTCATCTGTATAATGCGGTGGTGTTCACTGTAGCCAGGTCCAGGACCATACTGATGTTTTGGTCATGGACTTTCCACGTCCACATACGATGTGCAAAGTACCCTGTTACATTCATTGTCTTCTTTCAAGATACACTTCCGTTGTAACAGGAAATTTAACACTGACATACAGTCTCTTTCAAAATAACACCTTGAATTACAAACACACGTGGTTGAGTTTAGGAAAAAAGAACAGGGTTTGACTTTAGAATTTTACGGGACGCTAACACCGCTCTCACGGGTGAAGGCGGTGTTTGTTGGAGCCATCCACCACCCTTCCTGTCTGCTCCAGTTGGACTTCTGCCACCTTATCTTTCGGTCTTGTCCCACTGCGTTTTTTCCTTGACACCGCCAGGTGCCGTTAAACTATAATGGCACCTGCCCGCGTATCATGCCAATGTTAAAGGACGTCTTTTTTCGTTGGTTTCTGACGCCACAAGTTACTGGCCAAGCGCCAGATTTCGACGGCTTCGAAGTGAGTCCAGGCTCCCAGCTCAGGCTCCTTGTTGTCCCTAGCCGCTTATTAAAATTTGAGAAGTTTGTGACCTAGCTTCCGCTACATCACAAAGATGGCGATGGTTGAGGATGAGAAGTGGTCCACACTCCACACTTGTGGAGCGTTTTGAGTGCACCAGTAGTATACTGCATTTTCTCATACTTGGTCGTGTGAACACATTTGGCGCGCTTGTGCACTCAAAAAGTGTTTCATACAGAAGTATGCGATTTGATAAACAATGTTTGATTTCCAAATTGGGAACAGGATTACATCACTTTTTTCATTGTATTAAATGGACTGTGCACCTAAAAATAAAAATCATATTTTACCTCTTACCTGTAGTGCTATTTATCAGTCTCAATTGTTTTGGTGTGAATTGCAGAGTGTTAAAGATATTAGATGTATATGTGTGATATAGATGTGTAATTATTTAATAAAATAGTATTTTTGATTTTGGAGTGACTGGCCCTTTAAGTGAAGTTTTAGTGTATAGTGTAACACTGCACAAATCACGCTGTCCTTTTTTGAAAAAGTGTTCCAGTAGAATCTTGCAGTTTTAAATTAAAATTATTCGGCAATGCCATCACTGGAAAAAAATAACTACTAATCATAAGAATTATTACTGCTTCTATCAGCAGCCGTGTCCATGAAATACATTATTTTGTTGTATCAAATGTATTTTGTGTTTCTTTGATGAACCCTTGAATAAATCAAGCCATCTGTCTTTTCATTTCTAGAAGGGGCAATCCATTGCACCTTTGCCCAGAGCGCTACAGGAAGCTGAACCAGCTGTGGCAGCAGCACTGCATCCTGGAAGAAATCGCCCGCAGCCTAGAGGTGGTCAACGTTATGTTTGCCTTTGAGTGGCAGATGTTGTGATGATTGCTCCAGCTGTGGTGGCCGGGAAGTAAAGAGCACAGCCATAGAGCACAATCTCCTCCGATGCTCCTAAGGCACACACACACACACACTCACACTCACACACATACGTAAACAAACAAACAGAAATCACTCCTATAATCAAAGGAGGCCCGAGCAGCTGGTCCCTCCCTGATGAAACCCCTGCTGGAGTCTAGAGCGGTGGGACAGTCAAAAGAGGAGGAACAGTGGAGGGGGATGAGTAATGAGCAAACCCAAGTCGCCTTGTTTTAATTTGATTGTCTGCTGTGAGAATGAGTTTCTGCTAGAATATTATAGAATAAATAGGCTCATTCAGATAAAGACGAACATCCGATACACGCTAACATCTTTCAGATATCAGTTTATATATTTAATTTCTCTCCTCAGTCATGCCGTGAATTTTCTGCATTCTCTTTTGGTGTTACAAATCATGATTTGTCATAAGTTATAATGGTTGAATTATGCTGTTTATGGAGGGTACATGAATTGGGAAATGTTTAGGCATGCTCAGAGATCTCACAGGTTTTTGCTAAATTATGGAGCCACATGCCACTGTCACCTTTACTCACATATGGGCGCATATGTAAGGGATAAAACATTTATCGAATCTACATTATTTTCAAAGTGGTATTAAAACAAACTCAGCGTTCTGGGAGAACTATACAGTAACCTGCTTTCCTCATTTCCTGATATAGATGCATTTCATGAGAATAAGCACACATTTTGACTCAGAATATTTCAGCCACATTTTGATATTTATGGTTACAAGTCCTCACTGACCTGCTATCATACTATATGCTATTATCAGATGCCCTTTTACGAAAACAAACTATTAGGCCAAAGTAATGAAGACTATCAGATATCCACTGTGTGTTTGTAATTATTAGTATTTATCGCGGGGACCATTGCTCGGCTGTTAACAACCACCACTTAACACAATTTGAATTTACGCAAAAAAATGAAATCAATATTCTATTTAAGAAGGAAATGTACTTTTTATTGAAAAAATCCAATGTAGTATATGATATCTTTTCAGTTTCAATTCAATATTGCTCAGCCTTTTCAGGAAACTATGTGTGAATATAAAATGTCCTCCTTTTTGTGTTGTTTGACAGTACATAACTTCCAGGCTACAGAAATAAAGACACTAGCCTCTATACAGATGAACTGCTCCTGTGCCCTGAATCACTCTGAGTACATTAGTGTATATAATATCTAATGTTATATGGGATTAGATTTGTTTCATGATGATGGCATTAAAATCTCCTCTCATTGCTCACCCATAGAATAAATTAATTTTCCATCATCAATATTGTGTCATCGATCAAATGAGAGCCCTGGATGAGGCAAGAAGTGGACAGTATTCTCTTATTTCACAAGTCTGATACTGCGTTGTAATTTATTATCATCTTAAAGCTAGAATTAAAGCTAAATGAACCCACACGTTATCATTTAGCAACCTCCATGTCTTTATTTCCCCAACTGTTTAAAGGGATCGTTCACCCCCAAATCAAAAACACATATTTTCCCTCTTACCTGTAGTGTAGTTAATCTCTCTCGATTGTTTTGGTGTGAGTTGCAGAGTGTTAGAGATATCGGCAGTAGAGATGTCTGCCTTCTCTCAAATACACTGGAACTTTCATTTACCACACTACACCCACTAAACGTATCACAGCACAAAAGGAAGTGTGCATCGACTCTTGGACGTGAGGCTTGTGTCTGAGCCGTGATATTAGTTAGCTCAGTGGTGCTAGGTGAGCTAACAGTAAGTGCATGCTTTCCTCTGCAAGATGATACAGTGGGTAGGTGTATGGCAGTAGTAAGAAAATAGTTCCCACATAAAACTGCTCAAAACAAGGTCTGTGGATCATCTTGAGTAACCTGGTCACGATTTCCTGAAAGAGACATTGCTGTTGAGGCTTTGAAATGTATTTCTTTGGCGCTTTGAGCACCACAAGCCAAGTGCCATTTATTTCCATTATATTGGAGAGAAGGCAGACATCTCTATGGCTGACATCTCCAACACTCTGCAACTCACATTAAAACAATCTAGATTGATAGATAGCACTACAGGTAAGAGGAAAAAAATATGTATTTTTGGGTGAACCGTCCCTTGTAATCATTCAAACAAAGTAAGTACATAGTAGCCTAGCTTGCAGTGTGCTGGATTGGAGCCCTTACAAAACAATCACACACAATAAAAGTCAACCGTCACTAGCTCAAGTGTTCTTTGTCCAGCTTTTGGTAACTCATCCCAGTGAAAATGACTGAGGTGTTATAATAAGACCATGGTGACTTTCCTGAGGCACATGAGTCATTGTACTGATGGCTTAAATGTTCTAAGAATGGATGATGTGTTATTATGAGTTATCAATCAAATTTCTGTATGGTTTTTTGCTTTTAACTAAAGAACATACTCGGTTTTTCACATTGCTTACTACCCTTGGTAAAACCTTGTTTGCTTAAAAGCACATAAAGGATCCAAAAATGTTACTATTGATCTAAACACCCTGAACTAATGTAGAATTCATCTTCTTCTTATACTGCATACCTGCCTATTTAACTTGAGACCATATCACCCTGCACCTAGATTTGTGTAATTTAATTTATATATCCTTTAAATTGTTGCTGTACTAGTTGCATTGTATTTTCTATCATACTTTGAGGCAAAAAAAATGCAGGCTTCAACTTCTCATCATCACTAATTTGTCTACATCAAACAGTAATATAAAGATAATTTTGACTCCAGTGTTGCAACTGACAGGTGTACAAAACTGTTTTGGACACCTGTTGAAAAACCACAACACACAGGCAACAAATGTTGATTGTAAACAACAGATTACAGTACACATGTACAGAAAATGATGTGTTATTGTGGTGATTTATGTCATGGGTTTTTGGATGTTTGTATCAATGAAAAGGAATATATACGGAAAGATTTTGACTCATTAATGGTTGTAAAAAGTCAACAAGGCATTATCTGCATTTTTGGAAAAGATCCACCCTGTCATTCTAGAAAATTGATTTTGTATTGCGTGATATTTCCCCTAAATATACTTAGGTTTCCACACACAAACACCTCTGTATATGTATTTCTTAGTTGTAATTGTTCTCCCTTGTCGGTAAAAAGTGTATTGTGAAGAACTCTTTTTACTTCAGCCATCAGGGACGCTGTTCACTGAGGCCTGAGAAAGGTCAACTGGCCTCAGGTGTTTCCTTCGGCGGCACATTGTCCGGCCCATAGTGTGCTTTAGAAGTGGAGGGAATGTTAATGTTGGGGTCTCCATTGTTGGATGTGTCTATCTGGTTGTTCTTCCCAAGGCTCTTGATGATGTTCAGGTTGGTGCGGGCAGTTTCCATGAAGCTGTTCTCCAGCAGCCAGCCGTCAGAGTCAGAGTTGAGGTCACCCTGTCTCAGCACATTTTCCAGAGAAGTCTGGAGGTAACGAACCCCTGTCAACACCGAGAGCTAAAACAAGACACAGATACATATTAATGACAATGTTACATGAAACATGGACACAAATGATGATGCAAGAGGTCAAATAACTAGTTTTGTTTGGTTCCTTTATATGCTTTAATTACCTCCGCCAAAGAGGTTTCTTTTTTGGTTTGTCGGTTTGTCAGCAGGATTACGTAAAACCCATGAAATTTTTGAGTAGATCCAAATCATGGGGTGGATATACAAACTATTTTTCACTTTTGTTAACATTGTGAGATAAGGTGTTTGCCCCCTGGTGGAGGTCTGCACTCTCTGAATGCCCTTCTAGTTTTGTTTAAATTTTGTACTAATGCTCTTTAAACTGATATGCAGTTGAGTAAAGGGCAATAAGAGAGTCCAATTTGAGTGCTGCATGGATGGCCAGAGGTAATATGACAGTAGAGATTTACTCAAGGATTAGTACTGCGAGTCTGTGAAGTGTATGTCTAATAACAGTATTAATGCAAACTGAGGTCACACCAATCATGTCCTCCACTAGTGTCTCTATATAGGTATAAATATAAATAAAAAGACCCATTTCTTGTCACTGTGATTAAGTAATGTCTCATATTCAGTAAAGTGTTAAGATAAACAAGAGTTAATAAGAGTTATAAAGTAGAAACAGGACGCCTATTGCCACAATTGTTGCACCAACACAACTGCAGCTCTTTCTGGAGGATGCTGTCACTTTTAAAGGGTACTGCACTGATGTAGCATTGCACACCGAAAACATTGTTGGGCTCAGAGTGAGCAGCCTAAAAAAGCATCCAAATCGATGCAGCATAACCAGAATAGATGTCTATTTAATTCCATGCTCTTTTCCTCCTTGTCAAATCCGGGGACGCTGAATTTAAAAATTTGGTTTTAAGTTCCAAGTCGTACTCCTCCAATGCCTGAAGCAAACCTGTAAAATGAAAAGAGTTTCCTTTTAATTTCACTATCAAGACATTATTCTGTTGTCAGCTTGTCTCTCCTCACCTCAAACAGCCAGGTGATGAGGACTGTGAGGCCAATGGACTGCATGATGTGGGTGTAGTACTCCAGCAGCGCCTGGCGACACCCTTTCATCCACAGGTTCAGCATTTCTGTCTGGTGCTCGTAGTTGAAGTGAGCAGAGTTGTTGGTGATCTGCTGCTGGATGCAGGGTCGGGGGGAGTTGATGTTGCAGCAGCTGAAGGGGACTCCATCCATCAGGTACTTCCCCTCCACGTTACTTTTTAAACGGCTAGAAAGCAAGAAAGAGACGAGAAGATCAAGGTCTGTTTCAATGCTTTTTATGCATCAGTGTGAGAGAGATATAACTAGTGTGTCATTGTTTGGGACGGTAGTAAAATTAATACTTGAAGCAAGTTATACAATCACATATTTTGAGATACTAGGGGGATGATGGTGTTTTTACGGTTCGCCATCATAAGTGTGAATATATTCTCTATGAAATCAGTGTCCTCATTCTGTAGTTGGACTTACTCCACCACCTCTTTCTGGGACATATCCAGGTAACGGTTACTGATCCACTGGATTTGAAACCAGTCTTTATACCCATTGTTCCCACAGCACTGGAACTCTATCTGCAGCATGTCCACAGTTCGCTTCAGGAAGCACCGTCCTGGTGTGTCCGTGTCCTTGTAGAACTTGATGGCGTCTGTCAGCCCCAGGTTCAGAGACTCCTCCAGCTCCCCATGCATGCTGTAACACATCAGAGCCCCCACCAGCACACAAAAGGTGAAGAAGAACGTGCATATGATGTAGGGCAGCATGATCAGCTTCCAGCGCAAGAACTTGGTGGTGTCCACGCAGTCGTAGCAGATCTTCCCACCCAGGAAGTTTATGGCACATGCGATGAGGCCCACGGCGATCAGCATGTTGGGCACGTACTGGATGTCCCTCTCAGCCATCAGCTCTCCTCGCTTGTTGATTTCCACCTTGAGGTAGAGCCCCAGGCTGAACAGGATGGCCCCTGTCACCACTGAGATCCAGTTCAGGATCCAGAGCACCTGGGCCAGCTTGTCCCTCTTGGTCTTGGTGAACTTCAGTTTCAAGACTGCCATGGTTTATATCTCCTATGTGTGTTTTCTTTTAAATCCAGGGGGGATTAAGGGTGGGATACAGGTAGAGGAGGGGAGAGGAACAGGTTATCCTCCAGGGAGTGTGGGGGACCAAGGGGAGGGGGATTGGTTGGACAGTTCTCTGAAGGTCCTCTCATAAGCAGCTTAGCCTGGCAGTCATGATCGATATCTTGTGGACGCTGCATTATGGTTATACTGTAGATGCAGGCAGGTCTGTGAGACAGTGGAGAGAGTATGAAAAATATTCTCACATGATAGCACAGTTCCTTAAATTAGAAAACACTGTTGAGACTAAAACACTTCAGAGACAAAAACACGATCAGTTATATGCAAACAGGAAACAATCTGCATGTGAGACAAATTGATAAAAGTTCAGCAAGATGTGATAGGTTTAAAAAACATGATTTCCATATAAATGCAGTGATTCTTGCATTTCCATCTAGACAAAGTTCCTAGATATGAAATGTAAGATGTAGCTGACATCATGAAACAGAATCAGAGAAGTCCACTGTACCTACCTTATCCTGGTCAGCATTCACCTTCAGCATCTGACATCATTCTCCCCTCGTTTTCAGTTTGTTTCCCTTTCCTTACATCCTCAGATTTAGTCCTGAGAGAGGCGAGTGGTCGTAGTGACACAGATATTATAGAGAGATCCACCGCAGCATCAGAGCGAGACTCGTAGCCAAGTCCTGACCCTCCTCCTAATCCCCTTTAATCATTAATCAGCCCTGGGCCCAAGAGGGATTTGGACCCACCTTCTGCCACCTACGCAAATCTGACTGTCCCGGCGCTGTGAGAGTAATGCATGACGGCCATTGTGTGGGTGTGTTTGTGTGTGTTTTCATTTAGTAGTAAAAATGTGCAGATATCCAACTGGACATTATGAAAGGGGATATTGTATAGTTAGTCTGCAGCATCTACAGCATAACCATAAGCACACATTTTAATTAAGTCAGCTTGTATTGACAACTAAAAAATATTTACACAAAGAATTCAGATACATTATTAATTCATCTTAATTATTATAAGTAATAATACTTTAGCATGTGCTGCCACCACACATGATCTAGACAAGTAAATTAAGGCCATACAGGGTGTAGTGGTTATTCTTGGACCTATATTACCACTATGGTGGCGGAGCAAAAATATGACTAATGACACATCCAAAAAATTCAGTGTCCACAGAAAAAAATTCCAGAAAAATGACTCAGTATTTATTATAAACAAAAAAAATTTAAAAAAAATGTACGTCCATAAATTTAAGTCTAAATAAGGATTCTAAAGATAAGCTAAGGCAAGGTAAGGACAGTGTCAGCATTTGGCCCTGAGGATGTGAGGTCAAAGTCTTTCCTTCCCACTCTGGCCACACCCTCGAGGCAGGCTCCCTCTGCTTTATACTCAACCATCCACAGCCACTAGATGGGGTCAGCTCAGGAAACAGAAATGGATAAGAGTTTGCCAACAATAATTTTGTCTCCTACACAGGATAACTACATCATTGACACAATCAGTGGCACTGCCAATAGAGGCCATGTGCCCCCAACGCAACTGCTGCCCCACCCTGGGAGGCTGACATTACTGTCTTTAAGAGGCTGTGGCGAGCTCATTTTAAGCTGGCATGAAGATATATGGTATCTTATGAAACTAGACAACCTCAGGTATTCCTTGGTACCAACCATGTCAACACAGCTTGTTGGTAAGGAGGCTAAATAACACCCCATATTTAGGCTAAATTTTGGTGAGGAAACAACTGGCAAGGCCCAAAGGGGCCCCTTAAACTCTCACCTCAAGATATCTGAATGAAATTCAATGGGTACCAACAAGTGTCCCCTAAACTGAAGAAGGCTTGTTCCTTACAATCGACATACTCCTTAAAATTAAAGCTGTATATTTGTTTTACTATTATTTTTTTTTTTATTATTTCAGGTCGGCCAAGTCAGTGATCTCTTAAGTCCCCTCTTAAAACTACCTTTTATTGGAGAATCTTTCCCGATTTTGCTTGAGTTTTCGGTTAATTTACACTGTCTTTTATTTCCTCAGTCTTTATACACTAAAGTGTTTTCATCAGTGCTTTTAAAGGTTGTTGTTTTCATGTCTATATGAATGTATAAATAAAGATTATTATATCATTATTTTCAGCTAGCCTAGATATGTCAACAGCATAATCAATCCCTGACATTTAGTTTTGGCTTTTGTTTTTAGTGTTTCAATCCAAGTTGTTTTTTTTTTTTTTGTGGCCCCATCTGGCCACCAATTTGAAAAATGTACTAAAGGCACTACTGAACGCAGTGATGAAAGAAAAAAAATAACACTGCTGCTGCACTTCTCTCTACTGGTGGGAACTTTCCAGTAGAGCTACACTTTAGGATTATTTTCATTATTGATGAATGTGCCAATCATTTTCTCAGAGAAGGAAAGAAAGTAAAAAATGGCTGCTACAATTTACCACCGCTCAAGGTTATGTCTACAAACATCTAATTTGCCTGCAAAGTTGTGAAAAAAAGACTAACTTGTGACATCACTGACTGGTGTGTGGCCAAAAGTGCCAAATGCCTGGAAGATTCATGCTGCACAGAGCAGGGCACTCCTCCTCCTTCTGTCATTTAAGAAGTTCATTTTCACCTCCTGCTATCATCTCACACTTGCTGGTCTTAGCTATTATGTTTCCTACTTTAATTTCCTCACTGACACACACACATTAAAATACACTCACAGCCGGGCCGCAAATCAGCCAATGAAATGTTAACTGAGAGTGAGATTAGTGGATTAACATGTACCAAAGTAGCTTGTGTAAGAAGAGAATGTTACCGTAGCCACTGGGCCAGTCAGCTAATCCACAAGGCAGACAGAACACACAGCACTCACTGCTGCGCGGACTGAGAGTGAAGCGTAACACAGCTACTGGAAAACCACGTCTCCAAGTGAGTACTGAGAATCAAACGAATATTTACAGTTTTCTCTTTGGAAGCTTGTAAAAATAATGACGACCATGTTCATGCTTTAATCTGTCCTTGCACAATCCATTGATCTAATTATGGAAACATGTCTACAAGAGGCTATCCAGGCTTAAGTGCAAAAGTTATTTAACCACTCATTGAGATTTCCTAAGTGCATTACATCAGCTATGGTTAAAACACCTCTAGTTTACAGTGTGTAAGATGTCTTCTAAATAAACATTTGTTTGTTAAAGCACAATTTTTTCCCCAGTAACGGTTCCTTGATCCAACCATGTGAGGTCTGTGGGCATCATGCTGGGCACAGAGGGCCAGTGGTCCAAGGCGTTAGCCAACAACAATATAAGAGCCATTCTCCGCTGGCTGCGGGAGCTCACAGCTGAAGGTACATCAGGAGCATTTGACTACCATAAAACTAGAATTCTATCATTCCTCCATGAATTTTTTGTTTCATTAACATGTTATCTCCCATAATGCACTGCTGCAGGTGAAGCTGATGTGGAGGAAATCCTACCAACTTTCAGCTGCTGGGTACAGAGGACATCAGAGTTTGCTAAAAAGGAGTTGTTAACACTATGTGAGAATGTGTGCCTTTGTTAATCATATTCAAATGTTTGAATTTTTAGGATCTTTCTTTTACATCTCTTCTGTCCTCCCACAGGTTTCAGCCGCTGCCAGGGCCTGTGGATGTTTCTGGACCGCAGTGCTTTCACCAGGGTGCACATGCTGCTCCAGAGACTGAAGAACTTGCTCACTCTCACCCAGTGGGCAAGAAAGCAGCTCAGCTCAGCCCACCTCTGGCACGGTACACACTTACAGCGTACAGCTGAAAAGCATAGTGGTTTGGTTGATATTTTTGACTGCAGCTGTAGTTCTAGCCATCTGACACGTGCATGTTTTTATTTAGGTGTTGGGGTCCCATGTGTGGTCTGCAGGGACACTTACAGCTCCTCAGACGTCAGACGTGGCTGCTGGAACCGAGAGCACAAAGCCCTTAAACAACACATCTGGCTAGGGCAACTGGTTCAGTGGTGGGGCATCATGGGACTCCTACCCAAGTCCCCTGGTACATATGATCACACACATTACATATATTAATGTAATGAACTCTTAGGAAGCCTCTAAAGTTTTTTTTGTTCTCTGCTGTTGCTGCCAGAGGCTCAAGAGGTGAAGCGTATCTCTCAGATGTGGAAGGAAATGGATCACAGCCATCGGAAAGCTTGTCTCGAGACGCCAGGGTAACTTGAATGATTTGACCTGTTGGAAGAATTCTGAGCCATGGTGGTTATTTTTCTCCTGCTTAAGTTCCTCTGTATTTCTTCTCTGCTTTTCTACTTTCTTGTGTTTGACCAGGTGGGAGGAGGGAGGAGTGGAAAGATACAGGTCTTTGATACAGGGGATGGTGACTCAGCTGGACAGGCAGCATGGATGCATTTGGACTTCTGAAGACGGCGCAGAGCAGTGCTATCCTCCTCCAAATCTGCAGGCCCTGCTAAAGCTCGTGCTAGTGCCTCGTATCGACAACGTGTCAGTCCAAGCGCTTGTATCCATCCAATTACAGCATCAACAAAGCCTTCTGTGAAGCATACTGTACAGCATCTTTCCTTTTACTGTGCTCTGTTCTGCTTTACTTTAGATCAGTACTAAATATGTTTGATTCAGGTTATGTAGCTCTTAACCTATACGTATCACAGCTCATGTACTTTGTCTTGGATATGGCAAACTTCCTGCAGTGCAAAGACGACCTCCTTCAGTCTTTCTGCCACGCCTTCACTATTCCCTCCAGCTTTTCCCAACAACTCAGGGCCTTCTGGATGCTTGATCATGGACACATCAAGGTACATAACAAAGAAGCAAAAATGTATTTTATGTATCAGGCAAGTGACTGATTCAGATTTTGATGATGTCATTAAGATGAGGACGTGGAAGCTGACTGTAATGCAAATGCTATTCAAGGGCCAGTTAAGCATCTTGTTGATTATATTAGCCTCTTTGTTTCAGCAGCACATAATGGTCTGCAGGTGACACTAATGGGCCATTTGAGTAGGGCGTATGATTAATTTAATAACGCACCACTGTGCCACTCATTAGTGATCAAATTATAGTATCTCTCTTTCGGAAGAGGAGATGCTTTCATGGTTGATAAGAGCTTTGCCTGCTTATTTATTGATAACAACAAGTAAGAGATAAGTAACTTTAGTTTGTTTTTTTTCCTTCATCTTAAAGGTCAGTTTAAAAGTAACCTTATGATGCCTCTTTATGTCATGTTACTCTCTCACCCAGGCCTCCATGGAGTTATTACTGAGCCCCAGGGCTGCTGCTCCCTGTCTCTCCTGGCAACATCACTGCATCATCCACTGCCTGCTAACAAGGAAGCAGCCTCAGTTGGCTTTAAGGTACCTCCACTGGACCAGACCTGCAATAGAGAGCACTGAGGATGCTAAGCTCTGTGCAGACGTGCTGCTTCAAAACAGGTACATTCTGTTACACAAATGACTTGAATCAGAACATATTGTTTTATTGTGTGATGCTGAAAATATCTCTGCTCTCCAGTTGCGTCTCTAAAGCCTGGGCTCTGTTGAAGAGAGGCCACACTGAAAGCGAAAATGTGGTCAAGTACTTCCTCCAGGCCTGTGATGGATTTGGTTTGTGTGCAGAGGCTTTAAAGTGCATCCCTGCAGAATACAATGTAGGTGAATCTCTTGTAGTACGGCAGAACACATGCACCAAAGATATTTAGCCTTGAAATAACTTTCTTTATGAAAATGTTTATCAGGGTGAAGAGAACAAAGGAAATGGGACTACAGGGCCACAGTTGCCACAGATAAAGAAAGGTAAGATAAAAGGTCCAGTTTGTAGGATTTAGTGGCATCTAGTGTTGAGGTTGCAGAAATGAAACTTCTCCCATGTGCCAAGCCTGTAGGAGAACTGCAGCAGCCCATGCCAAAGTGAAAATGGCCCTATCTAGCACCAGAGTTTCATTTGTCTGTTCTGGGTTACTGTAGAGATAACATGGTGAACTCTGTGGAAGAGAACTCGCTCCGTAAGTAGATATAAACAGCTCATTTTAAAGGCCCTGACACACCAAGCCAATGGCTGTTGGTTATTGTCGGACCATCAGTGAACGCCTGTTGCCTTAGTTTTTATCGTGTGTCCTTCACCGTTGGCACTAGCAGGCCTTTGTCAGCTTTTTTTGGGGGCCAATGCAGCATGTCGAACTGGTGCTGGAGACGGCAAACAGACTCTCAAACTCTCAAACGAACGTAAGCACTAGTTGGCTGTAGGCTTTGTTGTGTTCAGGTGCAACTTTTTGGTCAAAACACAGAGCCTGTGAGGTGACGCAACAGTAGCCCTTTGTCGCCACTAGTCTTTTGATGTTGGTATGGTGCGTCTGGGCCTTGAGAACACAACATTTTTTATTTTCAGGTGATTATATTCTGATGAAAACATTGTAATTAATGTTATATACCATCTCTGCCACTAAATGCCCCTAAATCCTACACACTGGACCTTTAAATGAATAGAATATTAAATAGTATCAAGACAGAATAAAGTATATTACATTTAACCGCAACATTTTTTATAACACTGTTCAGCAGAAAGGCCACCCTGCCTGCTGTCTGCCAAACTTTATGAGGCTCAGAGAGACAACACAATGTCCCCAGAGGAACTGGTCCAACTAGTCAGAAAGGCTGTGATGGAAGTGAGAAAGCCACATCCCAAGATAAGGTACTGTGGCTGTAGATGGCATGTAGGTAACAGAGGTTGAGTTGTGTTAAAATATATTTAATACCCAAGAGAACCCAGCAGATCATTTCTCTATGTTCTTTATTCTAGTGAAATGGTGTGGCCAGAGCACACGGAGAGAAAATCGAAAAGCAGAGAGATGTTTCTGTCAACCAGGGCTCTCCGTCATCTCACGCCCAGCCCCTCCCCAATGGACATGGTAGAAGACACAGAGCAAACAGCACATACAGATGAACCAGAAGAGGAACAGCCTGTCCATAATGTATGCATTGTCAGTGTCCCCACGAAAAATCACCACAACAGCATAGTCTATTGATTTTGAGAAATAATGATCCTTGCCCTGCACATCTGTTTTTGTCCCAACAGGAGCCTGAGTCACAAGAGCACATTTCATCTTCTGAGGATCTGAGCTCTGAGTATGTCTCCTCCTTCACCTCAGCCTCCTCCTTGCCTCGGTTGAGACGGCATCCTTATGTGTATGAAAGTACTGTGACTCTGCAGAGGATCTCCTCTCTCCTCAATGATGGAGAGAACCAAAGCAGGGAAGAAGAGGAGGAGGAAGAGGAAGATGACAAAGAGAGCAGGAGCCCTTCATCAGCTGGTGCCTTGTCAGATTGACTTGAGCCTGCAGGGACACTAGATGGCGCCACAGACCCCGTTTACCTGAGCAACTTGAAGAAAGACATTTTGGTGGAGCCGGTGCTTTCTGCAGAGGGTAAGCTTTGTGTTGCATCTTATTTCCACACCATTCACATTAAGAGGCAGTCATAAAATAAAGAGAAACTTAACTCTTTCCTAGAGGGAGAAGAGGATGTTAAGACAGAGGTTTTCTCAAGAGAGGACTTCCTCAGTGTTGATGCAGTTTCAGGATCTTTCATGGACGAAACCCTACCTCTAAATAAGAGGTCAGAGATCATCTTATCTCACACTATACTTATGGTGCTCTGAACACACTTAAATCTAAGTTATGTTTATTTTCTCTGGTCCAGTTGCAGGTTATATCTTCCCCCTGAGTTCTACAGCAATGAGGTCAGCCAATCAGTACCCTTCCTCTGTGAGGCCCAGGTGGAGAGTCACAGCTTCCTCTCACCAGACTATGGTGTGTATCCAGCTGGAGGGACAAAAATATATCAAGCTGAATTGTGCTTTACTGAATGTCCACATCACTACATTAACATTTATCTGCAGAGAAACTGGCCGGCTGTAAAGGAGACGAAATTGTTCACGGTCCCCCAGGTGTCGCCAAGCTGTGGAGCCCTGCAGTGTCACTCAACCAAGAAGAACAAGCAGACTGCATCCCTTCACAGATTTTCAGTTTTACTGAAGCTGCAAAATTGGACCGTTTCCTAGAAAGGGAACTTCATCAGGTAGGTAGTGTCTCTGTTTAAAGGCATACTTCACCCCCAAATTTTTTATATCAGCTACTCACCCCGTCTTTATGGGGTGAGTTATGTTCACCAAGAAAACTTTGTTTTTGTCACATGCCTCCACAGTGAACGATGAATCCAAAAACGGAGAGAATTCTTAATGAATCCATTTACAACCGCTCACACACCTTGCGCAGTATGATCCGAGTCTCATTTATCCATCACATGGTCATTGTATGCTAAGTATTTCCCAAACAGCCATCCCTTTTCGACGGGAAACTGAACTGAAACTAAGTGAAACTTTTCAATACTGTCTTCAAAGCCAGAATGGTTAGTTCAAACTCACCAAAGTCACACACTAACACAAATAAAATACAGATTGAGGCAGTGGCAGACCTGCAGCACCTGTGTTCAGTGAGGTAAAATTACTCTTTTTGTCAGTGGAGTCTGGCTCTGAACATAGCCTACATAAGTTTCACTTTCAGGTCACTTCCCCATCGGAAAGGGCTGTCAGTTTGGGAAGTACTGAGCATACGACTGGATAAATGCAACGTGGATTATACTGCACGAGTTGCATCGTTTTGCTGTCGTCCCCTATGACTTCAGTTCATCAAAAATGTTCTCAGTTTTTTTCATTTACTTTGAAGGCATGCGAGGAAAGCAGAGGTTTGATCACAAATCCAAAGTACCATATAAATCGTCATTGGGGGGGTGAAGTATCCCTTTAACTCAACAGTGCGTACTATAAGCTGATTACAACAGTACCTGTTTTCAAAATTGGGCTCTTCACTTGTAATGTTTCTTGCTGTATGTGCTCAGAATACATATGAGCATCATCAGCAAGAGGGAGTTGTGGAATACTTCAGCCAAGGCCTCTCCTGTGCCCTGTCTGAAACCACTCAGGACCTACTGACTGACCTTCACCATAGCCTTCTGTCAGAGGATCCTGTAGCCAGAGGCTCAGAGGCGTCAGCAGGGAGCGGTCAGCAGGACATCTCCCCCCTTGCCCCTGTGTGCAGCTCTATTTTCCCCACACAGCTTCAGATCTCTGGTAGCTCTCTGACCCCGAGCCTAACCTGCAACATCATAACCACCTGTGCTCCTTCTCACAACACCAAAGAGAGCTCCCCCACAGCCCAATTACAGATGGATGAACTCTGTGCCCAGAGCACCTCAGCCTGGCTCAATCATTGCACAGTGGGAAGCTGGTTGAAACAGGACCTGGACACCCGCAGAGCTTCTAGTGGCTTTCTACCTGCTGCAGAGTCAGGAGCAACTATCACGTCAGGTGAAGACATTTTTAAAAAAAATAAAGTTAACAACTTTTTATACCAGCTTAAAAGGCAGCCACAAAGAACCACCCCAGCATCCCAATAATTCTTATACATATCCATGCATACATACAGTCCATATACATACACATCTTGTCCAGTAGTGATGTTTTTTATATTTGAATATAAACAGTACTTTACATATAAAACCATATACAAACCTATGTAACCATATGGTTTACACTGGTCCCCACAGATAATGAAATGTGTGCTACCAGTTGCCTTATTGACATTAGGAGCTCCTAAAACATTGCAAATGGTCATTAGCAAAATGCTAATTGAAAGCCCCATTTATCTCATTGCTATTATCATTGCTACCATTGGTCTTAGGACAAATAATTTGTGTTTGTGCTCTTGCCAGACATAATTGTGTGTCAGAGGTGCTGCTGTTCACTGCAGGGTGCAGGACACAGGTAAATGTACCAAAGGCAGGGGGTCTTGGCTGCTAGGGAAGGCAGACTGGCGAGGAAGTGAAGTGTCAGAGATTGGTTCCCTTAACCTTGCTGCAGCAGTCAGTCATCCATAAAAAGAACCCTTCCCCCTCCCTCCGTCCCCCACACCTTCTATGGGGGGTGTACTGTCTACCACAGCAAGCAGACCTCCCTCCATCTGCTTGGTTGTGCTGATCACCGCCGGGCCTCGGGGATCTACGGCCTATTGCCCCAAGCTGATGCCCCAACCTTGTCACCGGGACAAGGGTTAAAGACATAGCAGTGGCGCAATGTTGCATAAAATTAGAAGGACAATGTCAGGCTGTTTCATAGACATTTATTGTGTGTGTTGCTTCTAGCAAGGATTTCTGACAATGTTAACACTTACACTTTTGTTTCTGTTCATTCACAGATAACAAGAAGCCCTCTTTTGCACTAGGCCAACCGTATTCCTACACTCTGGTCAACTTTACGGACTTCACCGCAAAGCAAAAAGGAGACAGCAGAGATGGCAAACAGGTACTTTATTCTAATGATACACACTGTACATTGAAGCTGTGGCGTATTCATTATAAAGAGACAAAAGCCAGTGTGGCCAGTAGGGGTCACTATTGTTCCAGTTAAGATGCTTGACAGCATCTCTGATTTGGATGATCTCATTTCGGGTCCCTGGGGACTTTGCCTCATCACAACCCAGCAGGTGCCCTCTTTACTACCCTTCATCCCTCTTTCTCCTGTCCTCCAGCATAAACACCATTTGCTTGTAAGATCTCCGCCTACAATGATGTCATTTTCCAAACATGTAGGCAGTGCGTCAGGGAATAGGATTGCATTGTATCTTGAAGTATCAAATGTGCATGAAATACCAAAGAGCTGTTATGTGTTTGTCGAAAACACAAAATCTGATGCTGATGCAGTCACCTTTTTATATTGCATAATTTTACTGCTTACTTGTGCATCGACCTGAACATCACACTGCTAAGCACTGTAATATAATTGTGTGGATATGACCAGGTAATTGTTTTACTGAGGTTTCATTGGATAATTGTTTGATTGGGATGCAGTCACCTAATTATTTTGTTCAGAACTGGGGACCATATGGAGCTTGGCAGGTGAAACGCAATTAGGCCATGTTAATTTATGATGATTATACCTTGGGCCTGAGTAGCCTATACTGTACAAACAGTGTGCGTCTATCACGGCCAATCTATTTTGGTTGTACAGTGCATGTTTGTGGTGAATGCATTACATCCATTACCTTGCAGACACAGTGTGAGTGTGTGTTATCTAATTGTTCATCCAGGCCAGGAGTGATGCTGCGTAGGATTTTCTTAATTGGCAGATATAGAGATATTAATGACTAATGTGTGAAAATGAGTTTAAGACAAACCCTTACTGTCTGATCAAACTGTCGTCGATTTAATACCAGAGTTGCTGAAGATAAGAAAATCAGGATATTAAACATAGTTATTAGAGTAAACTATAAATTTAGATCTCATCCCAAATGACCTCATGCATGACTGTTTATGATGATAATTGTGGCACAGTTGTAAATGAGATATTCACTGTGGTGAAAACAAAGTCATCAATCAAGTCACAGGAGCTCACAAAGAGATAATGTCCGCTTAAAAAGATACCGCAAAATGAAATATTACCAACTTTGCCGTCTTTATGAAAATACCAATATTTGCACACAGAGAGAGGCGGGGAGCAGTGGTGTTGGGTTGATGTTGCATGTTGAAACATTTAAGATTCAAGCGGAGACGAATGGCCTCTATTAGGAGCATTTAATCAGTGCTCCCAGTCTCCTGCGCCCCCCTGGGGAAAGATTAATGGGTACAGGATATTTCATCAGGCCCTCCACATCACTGCCCAGGATATGAGGCTGTAATTGTGTCTGTTTTGTGCTGTTGTTCTGTGTTAAAGGCAGACAAAGAAGAGCCCGCAGGTTGGAGCAGTTTGGGGAAAGGTTCACAAGGTGCCATAAGAAGTGGGAGAACACTATTAAGGAAAGGAAAACGAGTGAAGAGAGCATGAAGATTTAGCACATCTATGGCACATTGGACAGCGCATGGAGAACTGAACTGGATGAAATATGTTCTCTACATGATGCATCTTCCTTTTGTTTCAAAAATACATTTTGATTTATTAACCTAAAGCAATACTGTAAGGATTAACACACGGCAAAATGAACTTACTGATCACAGGACAAGCTCGATGATCACCACATAGACTTTTCACCTTGACCTGATCATCTCCCCTTCCTCATCAATCAACTGGTTAGATCAGTCTGACGGCTGCTGCTGCTGTCAGCAACCTTTCCCACCCAGCGACATTGTCCTGCCACACCCTTCCTCTTCCTCTGTAACACCGTGTGTCAGAGACACTTAATAATGAATTTCTCAGGAATTATTGATAAATGTGAATTATTAAATATTTTGCTAATTAAAGCTCCAGTAAAAAATAGACATCTGTGGCTCATGTTGTGCTTTTTTCAATCTGGTCACCAGGATACAAGTTGGTCCAATTGAAACATTAATGCACTACATTTAAAAAGCAGTGATGGTGTCCTTGAAAATGAATCTGCACTTTAGATTCTTGACAAAAAAAAAAGGATGTTTGCTTTGCTGCCATTGCATCTCATGAAAAATGGATGACCTCCCAGTGCTCTCTGCTGCCCATCGCTCCCCATATTTGCACAGAGCCCAGGGACTGCATTTGGGTTAGCATCCTCCTCCCTCCCTCCTTCCCTCGCTCCCTCCTTCCCTCCC